CCCTTGCATTGTATTGCTGAATCAAGAGTTCTTAGCGAACAGATATTACTTCTTTACATTAGAATTGATTTGTTTCTGATGACTTGAGAAGCTTTTTGTGATTTGATCAAATGCCTAATGCATCTGATCACAATGAAGAATAAGTCATTGTTTTTAATTAACAAGTGAGGATCAACGAGGATCGAAGATTGCTTTCGAGACAATCGCTTGTGAACGCTAGACAATCCGTCGTTTTCGTATTAGATGGACCAGTTTGGAGCAATTTCAGGCTCAGAGAGAGCAGTTGATGTACCAGCACCACTGCTATCTTTACCGCCACGACCACCTGCTCGAATACCCAGCAAACCGCAGTCGAGACCACCTCCGCCGCCCTATAACGTCAAAACGAACAAATCGTCCGCCCAGACGTCCTCGAATAAGGCTCCACCACCACCTTATCCAGGGCGCTCAGCTGTAAGTCCAATTCTTTCTCCTAATTCATTGAAACTTTAGTCTTCACCATCACAACTACAGTTAATTTGGTAATTTCACCCCTGAATGATAAGTGAATCAGCAATCACCTCTCTTGCTTGCTTCAGACTCCGAATTCGAATGCTGATTCCGATTTCGTGTCACAGACGTCTTCGGTACCAAAATTTAGTCGAAAGCCGTGCGCCACACCAGCAGTCGTGGTTGGCGAAGGAGAGCGACGTGAGACGATACGTGATAAGGAGGAACGTCAAGAGAAAGCTATGAGTGTCTATGAGAATGTTGACTCAAATGAGCAATTACCAGTAAAAGGTGTCAATTTATGGTACGAATACGGATGTGTGTAAATTAGGCCTAAAGAGTTCTTTGTTTATAAATTGGGGAAAGTCAGCAGCCCTCTCTCGGAGGCAGGAGCGTTAAGAGCATCGTAACGATTATATTAGAGTCAATTGAAGGATGTTGAATTCAGCCTGGGAGTTGACACCAGCACAGGCTTAATTTTGCTTGTCTACATTCAGTGATTATAGTATGGAGGAAACTTCTAAGAAAATCGGGATTTCGGACATTCTTTTCCTTTTGCTTGGGGAATTCTTAAGGCGAATAGGTAAGGTTCAGTTCAGAGTCACCATCTCAAAACCGTTTCAGAGTCAGTTTCCAAACGGTTTCATCGTTTGAAAGTCACGAATGAGGTTGTTGTTACGACATGAAATGCTTAGTGTGCCCTAACTAAAAGTTTGACTATCATTCAATTAATACGCATCGAACTATGAGCTGTGTTTGCAGTAATTGTTGTTGCTATTGTTGACTGTGGTATCGCGTAATTTATTTGTACGTTGAAATATGTGTTAATCAAGTAAATAAGCTGATATTTGTATTAAATTTTTGATGATATGTGATGTATGCAGCAGCAGTAGTCTTATAATAATAATGCAAAAGTCGAATGGGTTATCGACTGAAATAAGTTTTTCTCGTTCAGATTATCGTTTGTTACATTATTCGACGATGTTCCAAAATAAACCAATTCTCTATTTAATGCACGTTTGGTTTTTTGTGATTTAATATCGCATTTGGAGGTTACCTTCAGTGATTTTTTATATTTTGCGTGTTCTGGATTTTCACCCACAATAATTGTTTCGAAGATGAGGAAGAAATTAGAGTGCTGTTTTTGAATCCACTCGGAATGGTGGTACCAAAGAAATTAGTCATCAGTACAGCACATAACACATTTCATTCTATATGATGAAAATTGCTTTAAAAAGATTCATCAGTTTAGTGAGGATAAAGCATATCGTCGATTTATTGAAATGCGTAATCCAAAGCGATCCGTCCGTTTGACTCGTCATACTCATCAATTATCAGCTATTTTGCTGACATTCTGATTT